AAAAATAACCAAAAAAAACATGGACTTTGGTCTACGCTCTAGTTTTGTTTCTTTCCTTTTTTTTCTCGCTACACCGTTATTTAACGGTACAGTGTCATATGCACTATCAAAAGATGCAGGAAAGTTTTCTTTATTTATATACGTAGTTACCAAGAACTCAATTTTACCGTTTTGGACATCGGCAAAGTCTTGTTCCCAGGTCTTCAGTTACGAAAATTTCATTTTGTTACATACTTTTCAATAATTTTTTTTTTTTTGGTAAGTGTTATATGGCGCCGCAACTGCATAATAAGGTCATATGAGCGCGCAGGATATATTAAACATTATCCGTTTTTAGGAAATTTTGAATTTTTCCCGGATGGCGGCCGAAGCCTACCTTATCGATTTAGGATCACCAAGAGATATTTAACGTGCGCAACTTGCACGCAGGAGACCCCCGAGATATGTCACCCTTATCCAAGAAAGTTGCTACTGTTAGATCTTACCTACCATAAGTTCAGGGGTGTGGCTGAAAGATGATAATGATGATTATACCTGATGACACGCCGTCTGAATAGTTAGTTCATTTTATTCATAGTACGCTTACGTTCATAATGTTGAGCATTATCGTTCTGGGCAGAGCGAGACGCAGCGTCCCAGCAGACACACAGAGATAAAGGGTTAATTTTTTAAAAAAATGACATAATGGGTTAATAATAATTTTAAAGAATTCTCCCTACTCGGGAATTGAACTCACGTCTTCTGTGCGTGACTGTGAAGAACTTAGCAGCAACACCACAATCGTTTGTACACCCTGGTCTGAAAATGCACACACACACACACATGGTATGTTTACGTATACACAGCTGAGCGCGGTATTGTCGTTTTTTGACGTGTCGCACGTACATTATCGTATATATCTGGTTTATTGCCAGTATATTTCGCTATCCGCATTTAATGCATTCAGATACTGTCGAGAAAATCTACATTAAAAAAACATATTAATGCAATAGTACATGTAATACGCGTTCTAATCTCTAGATTTTCAAAAACAATGTTTATATATATATATATATATATATATATATATATATATATATATATATATATATATATATATATATATGTGTGTGTGTGTGTGTGTGTGTGCGTGTGTGTGTGTGTGTGTGCGTGTGTGTGTGTGTGTGAGTGTGTGTGTGTGTGTGTGTGTGTGTGTGTGTGTGTGTGTGTGTGTGTGTGTGTGTGTGTGTGTGTGTGTGTGTGTGCAAACGTACACGTATATATGTTTTCAAATAATACGATTTTTCCATACGCGGACAGTGAACTGCGATGACGTTATGTACTGAAATTCAAGTAAACAGATCGGTAGACAAAACAGCTGGCTTTACCAAGGTTATGAAAGAGCAGCGAGCCGTGGCGTGGTAAATCAAGGCCTCGCGATGGATATCACTGCAAATTCAATGTTCGCGAGTGTGATATAATTTAAGGTTTTGGCGAATCGCCAAGTTTGCAGAGCATAGAGATGACATGAAATGGAAGTTTTCTTTCGAGAATTTTGTTTTGTTTACTACAGAGCGCAAACCATCCATTGTTTGCGACGTCATAAAATAAACTACGCTACCTCCAAATTACAAGGTTCCATCTGACATTTTGGCCGTTTTGAGTTACTAAGACCATGAGGTTAGAAACTAAATTTTAAGGTTCTATCTGCTCTATCAAAATAGTTAGATTGTTCGGAGTCGTTAGCAAGATATTCAAATGCATTCGAAAAAGATTGAAAAAGTGTGGAACTCAAATTCTTTAATAACGTCTCATTTCTCAAACATAGGTACTGAGCAGATAGAACTTTGTAATTCTGAGATATCGTTAAATAGTAACGTCTCGTGGAGATCGTGTGGTTGGTTCGAGAGTAGACATGTTCTAGACTACTTACGTGGTTTGCTTATTAATTATAGATCTAAGTCAAATGTGTCATGAAGCTGGGGACCCTAGCGCTCGTCAATATTTGGGCATGTGAAGTTTTTAGTATCATCGGAGATCTTGTATAACAAGATAGTTCACACCTCTCTTTGAGCCAATGAAAAAAGTGTCCTAAAAAATCGGTGGCGCCCTTTTCGAAAAAGTGCGGACCTTGCGAGCAGAGTTACCCTACTTGTGTGAAAAGCAATAAAAGCGAAACTAACAAACTGTGCTATTCCTATTTTCTTCAGCAGAAACGAGAGAGAGTTCCAAAACAAAGACTGCAGCGCCGTCTAAATCAAAGCGTGGACTTCCACGGACGATTTTGGCTAAGTGAACAATCTTGTTATGTACGATTTTTGGTATTATTTTAAACTTAAAGCTTGTTAATTTACTATCTATCATTCGATGAAAACAAAATAAACCATTTATCTTGAACAGGACTTCGAGAAATATGTTAATAAAAGAGGTGGGGGTCGAGTTGTTTCAGAAGTATAATCAGGGAGAAAATGGCCACCAAAGTTTGTTGACTTCCACAGTTTGAGAGTCCTTGGAAACTGAATGTTTATATATTTTGTTCTTTTAATTTTTAAATGTTTTTCAGTAAAAACTATCAAAGAAATGTGTTTTTAAATGGGCATAAAAGGTGTTGAACCAAAATACAAAAAATCGATAAAAATTACCGAACCGGGCGGGAAATGACTTTAATTTCATTATTTTGACGAGCGCCTGATTTCACCACGATGCTTCTCAAATATCTTTGCCATTAGATGGCACCTTCCATTACTTTTAAACTGAAACGACCTCCGTTCTTTTGAAAAAAACCGCAAGGGGGAGTAGGAAGTGGTTGTTTCGTTTGTAAGGATGATAGGTCTTGAACAGGTTGCTATTAAAGCAGGCTCGACTGGTAAAATTATATTACGATTATTAGAAGACAGGCAAGGCGAACGACAAAAAGGGGAGTAATACCGATTATTATTTTTCACTTCCTGTATTACACAATAATATAATGGTGTTCGGAGAAAGCGCAGCTATGTCCCTTGGAGAAGATTTTCATTGTATTCCTGTCCCAGACCCGATGACAATAATTAATTAGGCCAGTAAAAGAACTCAGCGAATAGAGCATCAATTCTTTCTTTACTTAACTCGGACCAACGACTTACCATGGTTAAACAAACAGTACAGCTACTTAGCTCAGTGTGTTAAGGACGATTGTTGTCATGCTCAGAAACACTGCTTTAAGTGTGTGGCATTTCGAACTAAAATCCTCTTTCTCTCTCTAAATTACATTTTGATTAGAAAACTGCTCTCTCTCTCTCTCTCTCTCTCTCTCTCTCTCTCTCTCTCTCTCTCTCACTCTCTCACTCTCTCTCGCTCTCTCACCCTCTCTCTAGCTCTTTCTCTCCTCCCCCTCTCTCTCTCTC